ACCATGGCAGCTTCAAGGGGAGGTAACAGCGCAGAAGAGACCAGAAAACAGCCTCCTTGAGGAGACCCTCCACTTTGACCATGCTGTCCGGATGGGTACGTTTTGCTCCCTAAACTTCTGCTAGTGTCTGTTTCTGTGGTTTTCATTTCATACAAAGGTTTGGAGTAATGTTTTCTTTTCCCTAGCTTTTAATTTTTATGTTTTGTGAACACTGAGGAAGGGGAGAGGGATACAGTGTACACTTGTATGCCATTCAGTTAAATTGACTAATAGTCAATATTTTGTTGTTTATTTTTCCTGTATATGTGTTTGTGTGTATACATACTTGCTTTTTCTCAAATCACTTGGACGTAAGTTGCCTGTGTTACGGTATTTCACACCTAAGTACTTTCACATGAATTTTCTAAGAATTGGCCCTTTCTCATATCTACCATACTGTTTCTACACTCAGAAACAGCTAAACCTTTCTCCCATGGACCCCTTGCATGGTTTTGAAATGTCAGCCTATGATGAGTAACAAGGCGCTTAACTTTTGATGCTCCCTTATACTTTAAATCATAATAATTACTACTGTGTAAATGATGCCTTAAGCTCCATTTTCACATTTGTGGGATTTAACGTCTTCCTCTCACTACTTCAGATTGAGAACCCAAGATTTGGAAGGCCAAGTGTGTATTTAGTTTATGGTTCTCAAACTTAAGTGATGCTCAGAAGAACTTGTTAAAATAAAATTGCTTTGAATAGTTTGCACTTCTGAAGTGTGGGGGATGGGTTTTTTTTAACTGTTATTAATGCTTCTGGTCCTAAGACCACTCGTTGAGAGCCCCTGTTCTGTTTGTATCTTTCTAATTAAGTATTCTATGTTATTATTTTCTTTAGCACCTGTGATTACAGAGGAAACCACTCTTAAACTTGAAGATATCATTAAGCAGAGGATAAAAGATCAGGTTAGAATTCACTTTAACTTAATTTCAGATGCACTGAAAATTTTTGAAACAATATGAATTTATTTTGGGAATAGACTATTTCATTTTCATAAAAGTTTTGTTGTTCCACTTCATTTAGAAATTTAAAGTCTAGACGAAGGTTATTTTGTTTTAAGACGCAGTTCTATACTAGTGCCCAGGGTTGTGATCGAGAAAGGCGTGGATCTAAGCAGTTCAGGCTTCTTCCCACACCTTAATGACCCTCACCTTCTAAGCAAGTGTAGACTAATATTGGACGTAATGTTGCTCTTAGCCAGGACCCTTAGCACAAAATTTGGTCTGTCAAATGAATTATGAGCTTTTTGAAGTGTTTAAAATTACAGTAAATAATTTTAAGAGTTGATCTTATTTTATAAACTTAGATAAAACCTCACATAACATATACAACAAGAGATTGCTTCATCACTGTGTAATCTTTGCTTACATATCTATGTCTGAAATGCATAGTGATTTCAGGGTATCTTAAAATTTGAAATAAGACAGACTTACAGCTAAATTTTAAAATAATAATGGTGAAGCGGTGTAAACTGAAAGATGGTAACCAGAAAGGGAAATAACTTGAAAAAAAAAACCCAAACTTTTACTAGTATCTGCTCTGTTTTGTACTGCCTATACTTTGTGACTTCACTAGTTTTGAAGGTTAGAATTTCTTTGTTTTTGCTTACTCTAAACTAAATATTGCAGAGGAAACTGTTAGGTGAGTCTAGAAAGAAATTAGATTTTAGAAGTTTACATTCTTTGTACCTTTTATATTTCAGGTTTGGGATGATGTAATACGTAAAGAAAAACCTAGGGAGGATGCATATGAATATAAAAAACGTGTAACTCTAGACCATGAGAAGAGTAAATTGAGCCTTGCTGAAATTTATGAACAGGAATATCTCAAACTCAACCAGGTAAGGAAACATCTATGACAAATCCCTAATTAAAGGAGGAGAATAAAGAGCCATTCGTCTTGGGACTGTTAAAATCTTTGGAGCAGAAATCCTTTTTATCACTCATAAATTAGATGACTAAAGAACTCAAAATGGATGAGGGTTGTATTTTCCAAAGTTGGTTCCATAAACTAACCTTATACTTATTTGTTTATTTAGTATGCATCAGGAAAACACTATACATCAAATTTGTGAATTTATAGGTATGGTGGCACAGTGCATAATGAAGGTATTAGACTGCTAACCACCTGGCAGGCAGTTCAAATCCATTAGCCACTCCATGGAGGAAAGTGGACAGTCTCCTCTCATAAAGACTTGCAGCCATACAAACTTGATGAATGAGTTGAAAGTGATTTGACAGTAGGCAGTACATAGGTGTCCTGGTGATGGCGATAGTGAAGGCCAAAGGTTTGGTGGTTTAAACCCACTAGCCACTCTGCAGAAAAAAAGATGTAGCATTCTGCTTTCCAGCCTTGGATATGCTGAGTTGGAATCAAATCAACGGGATGGTAATTACTTAGGAGGGCAGTCCCTGGGTAATGCAGCTGGATTAAGGCTCAGCTGCTAGCCAAAAGGTGGGTGTCTCAGACTCACTCAGGGATACGTAGGGTAACAGGTTTGGCAGGATGCTCCCAATATCACCACATTTCATGGTGTACTTCTATTCTGCATGTATTGTAAAGAACAGTAACATTTCTTAGGATGGAGGCATTGGTGGCTCAGTGGTAAAATTCTTAACGACTCAGGAGACCTGGGCTCAAGTCCCGTTTAGTGCACATTAGGCACAAACAACACCTGACATCATAAGAGGGACAAGGAGCCACTTGTTTACTGTTCATGTTTCCCTCATGTTTTAATGTTTTCAAAAAAAGTTTTTCATAATAAGCAAGGTATAAATAGAATGACAAAAGTCACCTTTTTTCTATTATACTAAGTTCTGAGTGGTAGTGATTACCTTTGTGTACTGGCTTTGTTTCTAGGGTAGTTGCTGTCACCACTGTAGTATTTACAGTGTTCCTTTTGCTTTTGGGAAATTCTCTGGTAGCTGAAACATTGGTTATGAGAACTTGGATATCCTTTCAGTGGCTTATAATGCTTTACTTGCGTTAAACTGCTTACTTTGATCTTGTTAAATTTATTTCCTAAGCAAAAAACAACAGAAGAGGAAACTCCAGAGCACCTAGAAATTAAGAAGATGATGGATTCTCTCTTCTTAAAATTGGATGCCCTCTCACACTTTCATTTTATACCTAAACCTGTAAGTATATTAACATGTGATATAGAGCAGATGTGAGCTTTCATGAGACACAAGTATATGGTTTCAGGTTGCAGACCTGCCAGGGCCATCAATGAGCAATGACTCTCGTCTGGTCTTGTGGTCTGCTGCATACTCACCCAGCATGATTTCCAGTGGACCCTTTTAGGCCCTCAGCTTGGGCCAACGGGATCCATCATTTTCTGCACTCCTTCTCTTTATCCAGTCTTTGGCATTTTTATTATGAGATGAGTTTTAAAATGTGTATAGGTGTTTATACCTGCTATTTACTATGTTTAGATACTGTACATTGGGAAGTGAGCTGCCATGAGATGAAAATAATTTAAAAGCCAGAAAACATGAATCTAGCTTTGCCATGATTTAGTTTTGTGGTTTAACATGTTGCCTCACACTTTTAAATTGACAACCATGCTTAGAAACATACTTTCCCATCATTTGTGGCAACTTGTTAATGAACTCTCATTTCTGCTGTGTCCTAGATATGTCATGTAGAATGGGAAAAGAAAATCTCTAAGGGCCTTTGTTCTCAAATAATAAGCTTTTCTTTGTCCATATGTTTTTCTTTTGATTTCTTAATTGAGGTAGAATTTACAGGACAGCTTTTTTTTTTACTTTGAAATGTGGCGAGATCTGCAGTTAGAAAATCAAAAGTGAAAGAGCTTGCTTAACATCTCTTCAAGCTGAAGAAATGAAAGTAAGCCTCAAGTAGCCTCAAGTCAACAATTTTATAGGCAGAATACCAACTGATGTAGGAAGCATCAAAAGAAGATGGACAGAATACAGTATTATAGAATAGCCATTGAGCCCTTTTAGGAGGTAGCACAAGATCAAAAATCAGTGGAATAGAAGGAAGAATTTTAAGCTGTCCTGAAAGCACTGGTAAAAAAACAAGGTTTTGGAAATCATTTCAACAAATGGCTGGTGTTGTGTGTACTCAAAAATGGTTGTAGCACCACATCCATGCAAGGCTGCCAGAAGGTCAGGAGGGCATGGGATAAATATTACAGAGGATGTCTTGGCTCAAAGAGAGATGATTACCTGTGCTTTGACTATGGAAAGGCCTTTGATTCTGTGGATCCTAACAAATAATAGCTTTGTGAAGAATGGGAATTCAGAACACTTCGTTCTGTAAGAGGCAGTTGTTTGAACAGAACAAGGTGAAGCTGTGTGATTTAAGTGCTGGGGTTATCATTTCACTGTACATATTCTTTTTGTGCTGAGCAATACTCTTGAAAAGCTGGGCTACATGAACAAAAACAGCACCAGGATTGGAGGAAGGCTCATTAAGAACTTTTGATACACAGATGGCACCCTTCCTTGATGAAAATTAAAAAGACTGGTCCAAATGAGTCTTTACGTAACATCTCAACATTTTCTCCTTTTCAGATATTTTTTCAGTATTTCGCACAGTGCAACACAATTTCATGTTTTGGTTTATAAAGATGTTGCCAGTAACTATAAAAATAAGAACCTCATTAGTAAGTTAGTATTTGCACTTTTTTCCCTTGCATCTTTTTTCTGTAAATTTGTCTTAACCCTAGGTTTCCTCCTATTATTAAAAAGATATTAATAATAATTCTGAAACAGTAGTATTGTTTTGAAAGTATCACAAGGGTCAGCAAAGGAAAGGAAGACGCTTAATGAGATAGATTGACACAGGGACTGCAGCAACGGACTTAAAGCGTGTCAGAGATCATGAAGATGGCACAGGATAGGGCAGGGTTCAGATCTGTTAGTCATAGGGTTGCTGAGTCATACTTGACGATACCTAGCAACAAAGAACAACATGCAGATAGTGTTGTAATAAGTAAAACAAATGATGTTTTAATATGAGTGTCACATGGTGTAAAAAATAGAAACAAGTGCTGTTAACAATAATTTTGAGAAGATGCTGAACTATCCATGTATCATACATGAGGCAGCTTTTGCAGCTGTTACCAATGTTGCTAGATTTCTCTTAGCACATACTTAATATCATATGTCTGTTTTTGAAAATTGTTTATGTAGAGCATTTTCTATTTTTAAATCCATGGGTTTACAATTCAGATATTTTTGTGTTAGGTTGCCCTGGCTTTCTGTTAAATGTGGTGTCTCCTTTCTAGCCTGCACCTGAGGTTAAAGTTGTGTCAAATCTGCCAGCCATCGTCATGGAGGAGGTAGCACCAGTAAGTGTAAGTGACGCGGCACTCCTTGCCCCAGAGGAAATCAAGGTAAGAAGCCAGTGTGAAAGCTGAGGATGTGTTTGAAATTATTTGATTATACCCAGATTACCATGTGCTTCATGTCATTTGCTTTGAGTTTATAATTTTTATTCTAAAAAAATCTTAGCAGTTAATCAAAAAAAGGTATAAGCAAACTAGTGTTCAGGTTTAAGTGTCTGTAGAATATGAAAATAAATATTAATACCAGCCATGATAAGTTTAAAACAGATTGCTTATATACCAGTAGTTTTGTTTTTTTTTTGACCAGTCTTAAAGGATGATTTATTTTGCAGATTAAAATATCAAAGCTCAGTGTAAATTAAAGAACATAAGAATGAAAAACCATACAATGTATATATAATAGCAAGAGGTTAGAAAACTGAGTACTGTGGAAAAGATTTATTAGTCTGTACAAGTTGGGTTTGGTAAGCTATTGGCTACTTGTTACAGTGAATTATCAAGACTTTGATTACAATAATAGGCTCCCATACACATCAAAATCTGGAAGACGTTCTCAAATTGTCATTTAGTGTTTTTTCTCTATTTCTGAAAACACAGAAAGAGGGGTTTCTGACTATTAACTAGCCATTTACAGAGGTCAAAAGATATGTTCATCAACATTCAAGTTATGACTGATGTACGTGTACTACCAACATTTATGAAAAAAGGTTGATTTTGACAGTTGTAAGAATTACATGAGTTATAATAAACACTTTTCATGTCCTTCTGAAACCAAAATGGAGAAAAACCTTTACCATCCATCACTCTGCCAACCATGTGACTAAAAATGCGTGCAAAAGGGTCATGAGTCCAACGTATTTACCACAGAATTAAAACCTTAGTTTTAACTCAAGTGAGTTACTCAATTATGTAAATTAAAAAGTAAGATCAAACTTCTCTAACATATCATTACTAGTTTAGAAGCATCATCAGAACAAATAGATTTAATTATAAATTGGCTGGGGCTTTCTGTAATGAGACTCTTAATACTAAAACAGAATCTGTTGGCAAACATCCTAGAAAAGCATGCTCTTTGTTATTCCTGAATGGCAATTTTCCAGATTTGATGATCTAAGTATACTTCCTAGTATTTCTAGGAGTTCTAGATACCAAATAATTCAATAATTAATAGGAATATTTGAGGGAAAAGGGAGATCAAAAGCAGACCTTGTATCAACATATACTAAATAGATGTATTTTTTAAAAATTACATGATAAATGTAAAACATAATATCAAATGTACTTCTAAAGGTACACCTATTTTATGTTATATAAAAAACTGTGGACTGCAGACTGCATGCGTGCTATAACATGTTACCTGGGAAAGCCAATGAGTGGGATTTCCTGCAATTATGCATCATCATGATATAAAACAAATACGTACAAACTGCGAGGTCCCTTAAAATAGCAGTTAAAAAGTTTATATACAGAAAGATGTCACTATCTGAGCAAATATGCAAGAGATGGAATTTCCCAGAGTAACACAGTAACCACCACACGTGCCTCCATGGTCTTCATCTCTGTGTGACAATTTTACTCCTTTATTGTGGTTCTCACTTTCCCACAGTCCAGGGGTCTGGATGATCTTTTCAACTAATTCCTAAAAGGCGCATTATACACCATCACAGGTTTTTGCACTTGCCTCAGTAAATAACAGGATATGCTTCCGTGCAAATTTTAAGCCTTCATTTCTATCACCTTCACGGTTTTCCTTACAAATTTTATTTCCAACTAACATGTTTATTATGTTATTTCTTGTGCAGTATGTTTCCAATCATTTAACCAATTATCAAGTTTAACAAAGGTATCTTCTTGTGCCATCATAAACTAGTATAATACCCTGTGCACCTCTGTAATAACTGGGAGTTAATGTTCTGAACCTCTCCTGACCAGCAGTATTCCATATTGCAAGTTTAGCCTTGTTTTCATCCACTGAAACTGTTTTCACCTTAAAGTCAACACCTATTGTTGCAGCAAGTTCTGGATCAAAAGTATCATCTGTGACCCTCAAGAACAGGCTACACTTGCCCACCCCACTCTCACCGATTATGAGGATCTTAAGGGTGGTCAGCACATCCTCGTCCATCCCGACCCAGCTCAGCTCCAACCCAGCTGGCCACCTGGGTCCTCCTCTCTACCCTACCAGTAGTATTTTAATGTCAGTCGGTTTCTCTTATTTCATTCCCTCAACCATATGAATTCAGATTTTAGACTAGAGTGTTTAGGTACTGAAGTTGGCTGAGCATACCAAATCATCCATATGCTGTTGTGGTCAATGGCTATTGTCTTTCTTCTTCCTGCTCCCCTCCCACCTTTTGTCCAAATCTCTGCTCAGGGCAGGTGGCAGCCACGTCAGGACATGATGGCAGCTGAGAGGGGGAAAGAACTTGTTGCTCCCGCCGGATAGACCTTTCCTTGCCACTGTTTTCTTGAACTCCATCTTTAACCAGTGATTGTCATTAGCACTAGGGGAAGAGGGAGACACCTCAGTGTGGCTGGACTCTGTATGGAGTTGGCCTGTTTTCATGCTACTTACCTGATAGTCTAGTTCTCTGTGCTGCCTGTGAGATGGTTTGAAAACTAACTCATGATTACAAACTCAAAAACTCAAACTCGTTGCTATCAAGTCTGAACTGCATCACTCACCCTTCAGTGGGTTTCCGAGGATGTGTATCACACAGAAAATTGCCTGTCTTTCTCCCATGGTAAATTCACTCCACTGGAGAGGTGTGGTCTTTGATTTAGCAGCTCGGCTCACTACAGACTGTCTCCTTTGTTAACTACAAGGGTCTGTAAAGACTGCATCTCTGGCTTAAAGAGCTGCTTGTGAATAAGCTCCTTGGGATAAGTGGGATTGTTCCAGATGTTCTTGCTCGTCCATGGACTTAGAGCTGTGTGGTATGGAATAGTGCTTTAGTTTTTCTTTCTGTGCCAATATGCCAAGTTAATATTAATTAGTATATTGGTGGATATTTTTTAAAAGGAAAAAAATAAAGCTGGTGATATAAAAACAGCTGCCGAGAAAACAGCTACAGATAAGAAACGAGACAGAAGAAAAAAGAAATATCAAAAGCATATGAAAATAAAGGAGAAGGAGAAGCGGAGAAAACTGCTAGAGAAGAGCCAGCTGCACCAGTCAGGGAAGTATACCAAAGCAGCGGCTTCAGAGACATTAAAACAGCTGACAAAGACGGGCAGAGCGTCATTACTGAAGGTATGGCATAAGTGGACGGGGAGAGTGGTGTCTGCCCAGCCAGGGCAGTTCATGGTGGCTGGAGGAAGAAGCACCTTGTAGGCTGGCTGGAATATCTAGCCATAAGTGGCCTTCAGCATGCTTAAGTCTTTCAGGTTGTCTCCTCAGGACATCCTGAGTCCTGTAACATTGCTTCTACTGCTTCCTCTCTAAATTACAAGAGCACAGTATTTGGGAACTGTTAGAGGGGGAAACCCCTCCTCTAATGCCTGTTGGCTAACTGACTTAATTGTTAGTTATTTTGTCCAGTAGTTTTTCATATTTTATGTTTATTTATACATTATCATAACATTTGGCTTTTATCACTTACAAACACATTTTAGAACATGATTCTATATTTCTCTTAATTTTAGGATGAAGGGAAAGACAAGGCTTTAAAATCGTCTCAAGCATTCTTTTCTAAATTACAAGATCAGTTAAAGATGCAAATCAGTGACACAAAGAATAAAGAGAAGAAGAAGACACAAGATATTTCTATTCATAAATTAAAGCTGTGATACATTTTTTTAATATAATGTAAATATTAGTTTTCTGTTTATAATAAAATGAGAATTTATTTTGCACTGGTGGCAAATTCCTAAAAAAGATAAACTATAAATTATACCTGGAAAATGAGATCTTCATTTCTCTAGATGTGAAGCCAGATCTCCTCCATGCCAAGTTCATTCCCCACACTTGGGGCTTCCTGTGCTGCTCCCACTGCATTCTCCCCAGGACATGAAAAAGGCCAGCTGTGCACCAGCCCAATGGGTGAGAGTGACTTGCAGCTTGGGAAGGCCACAGGGGCCATCCACTCTGTCACACTTAACTGGGTACCTACTGTGGAGGTCCCTCGTACTATAGAACTTGATTTTCTTCTATAACTGCCCTGCCATCCTTTCACAAAACCAGTGAGAATTTTGCACATGTCATTTACATCCTTCCCATTTCAGAAGTGCTCTCCTCTCATCTGAGCACAGGTTGGTGCAGTTCACATCAGTTGCATAGAGGGCAAGGTGTATCCTACAAATGAGAGAAGTTGAATATAACTAGGAAGCTAGGCTGCCTCTGCAGACCACCCTTAGTTAAGTCTCTCCAACTAGGGAAGTTTGTTGGTAAGCATCAGATTATGCTTTGATGGAAATGCTTTATACTTTACAATGCCACATAGTTGAATATGAAAACAAAGATCTGATCCTTTGGTTCAGCTGACACAACAGGGAATCCTATTGTAAGACTTGGTAAGTACTTTGGATTTGGAACTGACTTGTAGCTGACGTTCCAGCAGGTTTTCAGAGACTAAATTGCATGGGAGGAGTTGCCCATCTTTATTCCTAGGAACAGCTGATATATTTGAACCGTGCATGTGTCTTTGGGTTGGCATACTGAGGTGTAATTTGTTATGAGTTTTATTCATGATGGAATTCCCAAATGACTCCTGGTTGCTAACCTTAGAGCATATTTAATGGTGAGTTGGGTAGCATATGATCTCCAGGACTTACTGTTTCTGTTCTGAGTTTGCTAGACTTGATTCACTGTGAACTTAATTCATAATGTGTCAGGGTCAGAATATTTCATCCTGGAGTAATGATCTAGTTTATTAATGTGCAAAGAGTGTTTGGCATTTGATGAGTTAAAATCACTATTAGACAATTACTGTAAAAATAGCATAATTAGTAAAACATGTATGGAGACCCAAGGGGGAGAGGGGTGGGAACAGAACAGTGAGGATGGATGGAGGTGAATTCACAGGGCTGTGCAATTTGGTGGGTAGAGGAAGGGGGTAAAGGAGATGGGAAAGATCCAGCAGGGACCTGAAAAGACAGTGTAATGGTGGGCACAATCCAATGTTGATTAATTTTATGAAACAATGAATGGGAATGATAATATGAAACTCTGAATGAAGAATATTGTAAAACAATGTATATGAAGTGTCTAAGCAAACCAATAAAAATTTTTAAAAAATAAAGGAAAAATATCACTTAATTGGGTATTTTCCCCCTTTTTCTCAATCTTGGTGAGATAGGCATCTATTCACATCTTTAAAATTTGCTATTTTAAAGATTATAGTTGTGTGTTCTGTGCCCAGAACTCTTGGATGTGCTGAGATATAACTGAATAAAGCATAAAAATTCCTACCCTTGTAAAATATATATTCCAGTGCACTATATTCACAATTTTTCTACATAAATCAGAAACCTATTTGTCTAGAAATAAACCAACACTCCCACTCAATTCTGTCTCCTTAAAGAGGTAAAAAGGCGCCATAATTGTCATATGTGTTTACCATTTTACTTTCTATAGACAGTGGTAGGGCTTGAGCTATAGACTCCTTCAATCATTGGTTGTTGGGAAGAAGACCAAGAGAGAATGCCAGGTTGTTTTCAGACTTGTCAATTTTCATTTCCACCACATTTGGTATTAGGCTTTTGAAATTTTACTCTGCCATTCTTGTGCATATAAAATGACAGATCTTTGTGATTTCAGTGTCCATTTTTCTGGAAGTAATAAGGTTCCAGTAGTCCAGGGGATTATTAGTCTGCTAACTGATGGATTGGCAGTTGAATCCAGTTGTTCTCTCTGGAGGAGAAAGATGAGGCAGTCTGCTTCCATAAATGTTTACAGTCTTGTAAACTCTTCAGTGTGGTTCTGCCCTGTGTTACAGGACCACTATGAGTGGGAAGTGGTGAGTTCTAAATTTGATTTTTAAAATTAATGAGATCTATACCAGAAAGACGACCTAGAGGAATGTCTGAACAAAAACAATGAAAGACAAGTGTCTTTCATTGTTTTTGTTCAGACATTGCTCTAGGTTGTATAGCCCTGGTGTACGTATAAGTTGCTGTAGCGCGGTCACTTGTGGTTGCTGTGAGATTGAACACAGGACACTGATGTGTCAAATGTGTTAATGGTTGGTTACCCAATGCGGACAGAGAGTGGGTTGGAGCTCCCCGATTAAAACAAGCTTGGAAGGAAGAATGACATCCACTTCCATAATAACTTGCCTCTGGAAACCCTTTGAACCTGGAGAGAGGATGAAAGGCACCCAAGTGTCGAGGACTCTCCTTCATAGGGTCGCTGTGAGTTGCCTGCGACTCGATGGCACTTGACAACAACAACATCCCAGAAAGAGAGCTTTGGTGCTTTGGTGGTCTAATGGCAAGGAGCTGCACTGCTCTCCCAATGGAACATAGTTCAAATGCACCAGCTGCTGTGAAGGAGAGAGATGGACAATTTCCAGTGCACTTAAACTGGATCTGAAAACCTGTTGGAGGGTCAGCAATGAGTTGGTTCTGGCTCAACAGTGTAAAACTACAAACACTAGAAAAAATGTTTATGCCTATGTATTATTGACTGGATTCTAACAAATCTGAATAGAAGTTTCAGAACACTTAATTTTGCTCATGTGGAACCGTACATAGACCAAAAGGCATTTTTAATTGAACAAGGTGGGACTGTGTGAGCTTTAAAATCAAGTATAATGTGCACCAGGGTTGCGTCCTTTTAGTGTAAATGTTCAACCTGTGCTGAAGAAATAATATCAGTTGGACTGTGTTAAAAAGAACATGACATCAGGATATGAGGGAAACTCATGTTTTGTGTAGATGATAACCTTGATTGTTGAAAGTGAAGAGTACTGGAAGCAGTAATAAAGATAATACAGTGCAGATTACATCTCAAAGCAAACCTAGTGCTGAGGAATTGATTGTGACTCTTGACAACCGTGTATCAGGCTTTATTTCTTAATGTATTTTTATCAGATACATGTTTTCTAAAAAACTTAAATTTGATCAATCTATGGGAGAAGACTGCCTGTCTTTTTGCCTAGGTATGCTGTTGGGTTTAACCCCTGATCATGAACTTCAGTTTGCTGCTCAATGTGTAATACACACTCTCAGAACACTTTCTCAACATAAGTACAGTTGGAGCAACAGAGAATATCATGATAAACTGAGAAAATATTGAAGTAAAATTTTTTATTTTACTTAGGTCCACAGTTAACCACAGAAACAGTACCTGTCAAATCAAAAGAACTGCATTTCTATGCAAATTGGAATAGGTGGGATTAGATTCCTATGCAATGTCAGTCAAGTGTATCTCAGTACATTGTGTACTTTTCTATGCATAAAAAACATTAGAGAAATACTTCCAGGTACATTAAAACATCTTTGATATAGTAATAAAAATTATAATAGCGTTTACTTCTCAATGAGGTTAAAAGGCCCAGTCTCCATGACATACGACATTGACAACAATCCCCAGGTTGTATCATCTCTTAGAACTACCTCTGTGTTCCTTCACGGCATCTTTTTTTTTTTTTTTAAATTGGGAAAAACATATTGGGGGTACAAGGAGGTGAGGGTTGGGGGCAGAAGGGTGAGGATGGGCCAGGATGCAGTTGCAGAGCTGCACAGTTTGGTCGGTGGGGGGAACAGGTGAAGGAAATGATGAGGGTCCAGTGGGGACCAGTTGCTATAGAGGAATGACAAGCATTTTCCAATAGTAATTAAACCAACTGTCTTACTGATTTGGGAATTGGATGCTGACTCTGGCTTCTTCATGCTGAACAGGGGCGTAGATGTAAAGGGGGGAAGGGAGGACACTTTATCACCTTACTGGTGGTCTTGGGTTAAAGCTGCTTGCCTTCTTGCTCTGTTAGAAGATACTTCCTGTCATTTGCTCCCCTCTGGACTGCAAAGTGTTTTCCCAGGTGGGTCCAGTGGGGATGGCTGGTTGAACCCAGAGGCTCCATCCTCCTTTGCTTCCTTAGCTGTCAGTTGTATTTCCTTTTTGTCACTGGCACTGAGTTCAAGGTCAATTCTGGAGTAAAACTCAGAGTTAAGGTTACCTATAGGAAAGGGAGCAAACCTAGAGAGAACAAACTTGTGAGTTACAAATAGAAGGGCTTTGAGGGTGTTGCTTTCAGGTTTACTGGGGTGGGGAAGGTGGCCTAGGTAACATTGGATACCCTAGGCATTCTTTTTTTTTTTTTCTCCTTCCCCACCCAGGTGTCAGATGGCACAATCTGGGGACTGAGGAGCTCACCCTGAGGGCCACAACTGCTCACCCTGAGCTGAGGGCCGAGGGCAGCCCGCCCCGGGCAGAGGGCCACGACAGCTTGCCCCATGCTGGGGGGTCAAGGGCAGCCCGCCCCGGGCAGAGGGCCGTGACGGATCGCCGGGGGCCGAGGGCAGCCCATCCCAAGCAGGGCAACACCGCCCCAGGAGCTGGCTGGTATACTCCCCCTCCAATTGTCCCTACCCCAGTCTAGTCCCCTCACCTGACTGAAGACTCTATGGTCAGGGATAGTGTTTCCAATTCCAGCACTGCTACTTTTAACCCCCCATAAGTGGTCAAACTATATTTTGAAGTAGGTGTCGCTGCCCTCCCCCTTTATATATGATAAAGGGAACCTGAAAATTGTGAACAGACTCCCCCCAGGTCTAACCATCTTTTGGCAGAAGCATTCAACAGAACAAAATATGTGGTGCATTTGGGATGTCGGTCCTCTTGTGCA